CTGCAAAACAAAACAGAAAGATTTGATATATTTGATAGTACGGTTTAATACTAAGTGAAAATAAGTACAATTCCCGACTGCTAGGAATAGTACATAATTCCACTTACTTGTGCTATTACATTTACCTCCCCATTTTTGGAGGACGGGCTGGGGCAGTGACAGACTACCCCGAGGACCACCGGCTATCACTCCTAGTATAAATTGAGAATGTTTGTTTTTTGTGTATATGAATTTGGAGGCCACACGGTAGGGTCTAGCCTCACCCAACTTTGCAGGGTGACTGGTTTGGGGCATGGGAAACTACAGAGGCTGGTCGGCGTAGATCCCATTGGTCCTATTAAGATGGGGTCGGGACGAATAGCGATCCATCCTCTATCCACACTTAATCAGTGAAAGGTGGTTGGCAACGGGGGGAAATGTTTAAAAAAAAAAGATAAAATTGAAGACTGGGAGGGAGACAGGTGGGGAGAGTAGGGATGTTGGGGAAGAGGGAAGATGAGGCGAGAGAGAGAGAGAGAGAGAGAGAGAGAGAGAGAGAGAGAGAGAGAGAGAGAGAGAGAGAGAGAGAGAGAGAGAGAGAGAGAGAGAGAGAGAGAGAGAGAGAGAGAGAGAGAATCTTGGGTTAGAAAGTTGGGAGAGGGAAGATAAGGAAAGAGAGAAGAAAGAGAGATTGGATGAGAGAGGAAGAGAGGAGAGTGACCCGGGTTTCCTGCCCCGTCTAATGGCAAGACGGAGCAGGAAACCAGAAAACCTGAGCCTTGAAAGGTTAGGTTAGAGGGGAGACTTTTAGAGAGAGAAATATAGAGAAATAAGATAATGATGAAAGAGAATAACAAAGAAGACTATAATGGAAGAGGGGGAGAGTGAAGATAAAAAAAAAAAACATGGTCTTGTGGGAGGAAGCGAACAGGGGAACACGAAGGGATACAAAGAAGAGAAAACTGATAAAGATAGGAAAAGAATGAGGTAGATGCATGTAGAGGGATAATGAACAAAGATAAGTGAGGGCAGAAAACGAGAGATAAAAACAACGGAGAGAAAATATTAATCGAGGAGGATGGAGATAGTGAAAGAAAAAGAGAAGACTACGACACAGAGACAAGGGAAACAACCAAATAGGAACAGAGAATAACGATGTAGAGAAAGAAGGCATTAACAGATACACAGGGAGCAGGAAAGGGGCGGAGAAGGAAGACGGGAGGGAGCAGGAGTGTGTGGAGGAAAATGGAGGAGTAGCAGGAGGGAGGAAGAGTTACAGAAGAGGAGGGGAGGAAGAAGAGCAGGAGGAGGGAGAAGCAGGAGGAGGGAGAAGCAGCAGAAGGAAGGAGAAGCAGCAGCAGCTGCAGGAGGGAGAGAGCAGGAGGGTGAGGGAGGACTGCACTAGTCTACGCCACCAAGCCCACAGGAACCCCCACCTGTTGCCAAGAAGCGCTCAACGTGTTTACACCAAATTACCCCAACTTGGCGCAGCGCGACGCGTCGTTACTCGGATGTCCTGCCCAGGACTGGTCAATCATATGTGTGTAGCATGTTGCACTGGTAATTATAAGGACAGCTCAGACGCAATACTATGTAGATATATACGCGCTCTTGGGGGTTTTCGTTGGGGGGTATTCCCACAATTATTGGTCCCGTTACTATGAAGCAAAGGTAACTGACTCACCTCTTGTCTCGCACTCTTTCCCCCAGTGACGCCTCCATCCGTTATGCTTCGAACCCCCACACTTGCCGCGGCACGCGCACACACACGTGCACGCACGCACGCACGCGCGCGCACACACACACACACACACACACACACACACACACACACACACACACACACACACACACACACACACACACACACACACACACATGCGCGCGCGCACACACACCAATTCATACATTTTCCCCAGTAATATCACCACCGCCCGCTGTCAGTCACACAACGATACCAACCACAACCATCCCTCACGATCATTCTCCCCCCTCCACAAACCCTTCCAACTACTGCAACCAGCATCCTATTTAACAAACATGACAACCTCCATCTACTAAAACTATCGCCCTAACCCCCAATAAATACCACAATTCCCCACCCACAACAATCGCCACTAACATCCATCGAAACAAGACAAAATCAGTACAAACCTGTCACAATCTTCATCCCTACCCACCACCCCCCTGGAACGAGGTCACCTCAAGACTACCACTCCAGCTGGTCCTTTATCCCCTGTGATTACCAGGTACGGAAAGGCGACGGATGGCCGGTCACAGCCTCCCTGCATCTTCCCACCATTACCACAGCTCAACACGGATCAAGCTTTTGGGCGCCTTACGGATTCACCATAGCCCGTGCTACTTGGAACTTGTTCCGAGTAGCTGAATCTATAACAACATTTTGGGCGCCGCCTCTCTCACAAAGGGCGGCGCCCTAAAAACTTCCTCCCTCACGGGGAAAAGGAGAAATAGGAAGACATAAAAAAATGAGGGTAGAAAAGAAAGCAAAGCATAATGAAATTATTGGAAATAGCAGGAGAAGCAGCTATCTTCAAAGACCACTGTTATCATTGTTCAAGCCACCACAGTTAAAGAACACTGTTAGAGCTCAACAGGCTTTTGGAACCTTATGCACCAGGAGAGTAAGGGTTGAGAGGCGGGGCCAAAGAGCTGTGGTTTATCTTCCGCAAATACAACTAGGTGAGTACTTAAACCACCCACCTGTGCCTTATTACTACCAAACAACCAGCCACCACCACTCAACTATCCACAACAAATCCACTACCACTACCACTATACTACAACCCTCATTCCCTCCCACCCTCCTTCCCCTCTCACCCCATTCCCATACCACTCTCATTCCCCTATAACCATCATTTCCCTCCCATCCCATTCCCTTCCCATCCCAATCCCCTATAACCACCATTCCCCTCCCACCCCCCACTCCACTACCATCAATTCACCACCACCAACGGTCCACCACTCAAAATAATCACAAATACAAACACTACGAGCCCCGCAGTTCCGCGTGTCCCAGCCAAGTGCTGAGCATAATAAATATATCGTGTGTGGCCACAACCAGGTCAGTCGCTGGTGCTGAATTATCAATAATTAACGTCAGTCACGGCCAGAAAGAAAGGCAGAGAAAGGGATAGAGAGAGGGCAGAGAGAGAGAGGTAGAGAGAGGGCAGAGAGAGAGAGGGGCAGTAGCAGAGCGTGAACCCAAGTGCGAACCAGCTCAAGAAGGCGAAAGCCTGAACCAATAAAAGGGTTCCAACTCTGCTGACTTCGATAACGTGCAGAGGTCTTTTACTGCCAGAATCTACTCAATAACACATCTAAATTATTAGGATTGCTTAACATTTTTAAATCTGTATTCCCTAGAGCGCAGGCGGGAGAGATGCATAATAATTTACACTTGGAAAATATTAGAGGGCCTGGTTCCAAATCTACACACAGAAATAACTCCACATGAGACCAGAATGCATGGCAGGATGTGCAAAATAACCCCGTCGAAAAGCAGAGGTGCAATAGGTATGCTGAATGAAAACTGTATCAACATCACAGGCGCAAGACTTTTCAAAATTCTCCCTCTACACATAAGGGGCATAACTGGCCGACCTATCAAGATGTTCAAAAAGAGAACTTCATAAATACGTCCAAAAAGATACGTGATCAACCGGGCTGTGATTCATACGTCAGGCTACGAGCAGCGGTCTTTAACAGCTTGGTTGCCCAGACCACCAACCAGACTTGGTCAGAGACCGGTTCCCGGGGACGTTGATCCCCGAAACTAAGTCATGGTAACCCTTCAGTTTCTCCTGCTAGTGACGAAATTAGTAACCAAATTCCCAGAACACACAAACTTATACCTTACCACTGCTGCGTCCCCATGTTAGGTCAACCCACTACACTATATATAGGGCAACCGATCACTAACTCTGTTTATGGCGGGCAGACGCATATATGCTGGTTAGCATCGTAAGTGAAGGAGGCCATGACTGAGGTTGAAAATAAACTGCTCAGCATCCACCACAACTCGCGTAAGTGTTTGTTTACTTGCGTCAGGGACGACAAAGTGTGGCAAGTGCTTCCCGCGTGCGTTGGGGCACTCTTGAGGTAGATGTTACTTGTGCTCACCTAATTGTACTCACCTAATTGTGCTTGCGAGGGTTAAACTTTGGCTCTTTGGTCCCGCCTCTCAACTGTCAATCAACTGGTGTACAGATTCCTGAGCCTACTGGGCTCTATCATATCTACATTTGAAACTGTGTATGGAGTCAGCCTCCACCACATCACTGCCTAATGCATTCCATTTATTAACTACCCTGACACTGAAAAAATTCTTTCGAACGTCTCTGTGGCTCATCTGGGTACTAAGTTTCCACCTGTGTCCCCTTGTTCGTGTCCCACCCGTGCCGAAGAGTTTGTCTTTGTCCACCCTGTCAATTCCCATGAGAATTTTGTAGGTGGTTATCATGTCTTCCCTTACTCTTCTGTTTTCCAGGGATGTGAGGTTCAGCTCCTTTAGCCTTTCCTCGTAGCTCATACCTCTCAGTTCCCGGACGAGCCTGGTGGTATACCGCTGAATCTTCTCTAACTTTGTCTTGTATTTAACTAGGTATATGGACTCCAGGCTGGAGCTGCATACTCCAGGATTGGTCTTACATAAGTGGTATACAGGGTCTTGAACGGTGGTAGTGGACCCCACACCCATCATGTGGGTGACAGTGGACCCCACACCCATCATGTGGGTGCCAGTGGACCCCACATTCATCATGTGGGTGGCAGTGGACCCCCACACCCATCATGTGGGTGGCAGTGGACCCCACATTCATCATGTGGGTGGCAGTGGACCCCCACACCCATCATGTGGGTGCCAGTGGACCCCACACCCATCATGTGGGTGCCAGTGGACCCCACACCCATTGTAACACTGTAAAAGTGTTTGGTTTAGGTTAATACATACATAGAGTACATGAGTCACAGACAAGGATCGGAGAGGCGCCAGTTGTCTG